CTATGCTTCACTTCGATCCCTTCTCCCCGGTGAATATATCAAGGTAAACAAAGCTTTATTTAAAACCAGGTCAAGATTTCATGTCATTCTTAGTGTCATTTTTGTCTGATTTATGGTATTGTTTATCGGGTTGGGGTTTTCAGGGAAAGCGGTCGATGTCGGATCACATGACAGAGGCGGTGAATTACATAAAACACTTGGAGAAGAAGGTCAAGGAGCTTGATGCTAAGAGACATGAATTAAGGAGAGTGTCCAATTCGGCAAGTGCTGGACCGGAAACAACCAAAACCACTTCAAACCACTGCTTCACAATCCGACCATGCTTCACAGGCATTGAGATTATGTTTCGTTGTGGCGTTGGAGACCAGGATTTGCCCCTGTCAAGAGTGTTGTCTGTTCTTGTCGATGAAGGACTGCCTGTTGTCAGCTGTGTTTCAACAAAATCAGAAGAATATTTACTTCATACCATCCAAACCGAGGTGGGATTCTTATCTTAATAATGTTGAGACTTAGGGTTTTGTTTCTATTTCAAAAAAAACCCAGTTGATTTGCTCATTGATTAGATTTCACTTCACCAGGTCACTGATCCAACAAGCATCGACATATCCAGGCTACAACAAAAACTATACCCAGAGCTAGTGAAGTAACAAAACTAACTTTGTATTTTAGGTTTGATTGATCTTTCACCACTGGCATATATTGACATCATCTGACTTCAAATTTGAGGAAATGAACTTGTTTTCATGCTTATGATCTGTAAATAATGTGTGATATCTATCCATATCAGAGATTGTGACATGAACTATGTTTGGTCCTATCCGAAAAAGTTTATGATGTGATCGTTTAGTGAAGAATTAAAAATGAGAGATAAATAGAGGATATGTAGTGAATATGAAGATTTTGAGTCAATCATAGTAAATTTATGGTGTGATCGTTTGGTGAAAAATTAAAAATGAGAGACAAATAGAGAATCTATAATGAATATGGAGACTTTGCGTCGATAATATTAGCTTTTCTTTTCATTTACATGTGATATTTCCACGTAAAGTTGATATATTCATTTTCTTTTTCATTTTGATTTTCAATCGATTGTTTGTCATTATTTGTAATAATTCTCTTATTATAGATGTGCAAATTTATGGATAATTTTGTTTGGTATCCCATGTTCATTTTAATACTCATGTTTAGGCTTCACGATTGATCCTCTTGATAATGTTTTCTCTATCATTCAAATATGAGTTTTTTTATTGGAAATACATTGAGAAAATGTTAAACATAGGATGATCGACTTTTCTTTTTCTAATCAAGCTTCTTTGCAGCATTGTATTACTTGCTTTCATGTTTATCTAATTGATCTTCTGCTCATCACATGATAGAAATATTAAATATATGGAGCTTATCTCTTTTATACATATATATAAATTTCATAATGGGGTATTGTGTGTGGTGTGCTGTACATATATACATATATATAAGCATAAGGATCTTGTGTTCTTTTGATGTCAATAATATATTATCTGATATTCACTTATTCAGGGAAAAAGAAGTTCCAAGTACCTGTCCAATTATCTTGGCCAGCTCACCCGTAATCTCCATCTTTAATCATTCTTTTTTGCAATATCTGCCAGCTCGATTTATAGGGAATAAAATCAAATAAGTAATCTGCTTCAAGATTCATTATCGTTGTTGTCATTAATAATGAATTACATGCAAACCCAACCCCAAGGTCCATACACCATTGTATTATATACATATTCATTAATAATGAATTACATGCAAACCCAACCCCTAGATGCATGCATGTGTATGCGTCTTTATTGTCCTATCATTCACCCATCATCTTCTTTCAATTCTTTTTAATGCAAGTTGTTAGTCTACTGTTTACCAGGTGTATCTGGAACTTGTTCGAACTGAATCAAGAAATACCATTTTGAAGCTCTGATACATGGAAGCTAGGTGGTAGGCTATAACTTTCCCCCGGATATAGTCGCAACTCATAAATTGAGACAGAATAAATTATTCATCAAATGAAGCTATTAGTGAGATTCGAACGCTAATATTTAAGTTAGATGATGTATGAAAGGATATTATATTTGAATCAAGATCAGGTGAAATAAAAACCTAATCTAACCTAATATCTTTGTTGTCCTATCATTCTCCCTTGTTAGAGCAATCGCAAATTTGTGTAATCATGAGTGGGAGATAAAATTCCAATGGATTTCAAAGTCCGGAAATAGAGTGGCCGATGGGATCGCCAAGCTGGCCTCAGATCAGCACGCTTCCCCTCCCATGGAAGTTGAAACCCTTCTCGCATTGCAGCCTCAATACAGCAGAATCATGTCCATCAGTTCTAGCCTAATGTCTTAGGCTCTTTTCAATTCAGAAAAAAAGAAAAGAAAAACTACAAGTGTTTTTCCTGGATTAGTAATATTTTTTATTCATTTTCCAAAGCTTGGAAAAAGGTGGAGTCCAGCTACACATTATTTTTTTTTGGCAGAAAAACGGGTCTTAGCAACTTCTTGAGTCCTTTTATACCGCATGCAGCTTTCAAAATTCACCACGTGGCATGGTCATCCGAACCACCTGTAAGTAGGTGTCTCCATGCGCCCTTTAAGGACATAGTTTGAAAACATACCGTTTGATGTTGATGTTATAATTTTATAAATTCATACCATAATTTTAACGGATAATACTTTAATTAAAAAGGAGTAAGCATGAACTTCAGTTATTTAGTGGTAAAAGAATTGTTGTTATTTTTTAAGATTTTGGGTTCGAGTATCAGGAATACCAAGATTACGAGCATTTAATGTAAAATAGTTAAGAGTTATCTTTAAACAGATACTACTATGTACTTACCCTAGATTATTCAAAAATAAAATAAAAGGAGTGATTTTCACTTTAAATATCTTAGGTTTCGAATTGTTATATTTGTAGGATATATACAAACGAGGATGAATAAATGATTTCGTGTTAGGGGTGAACTTGAATTTATAAAAATTTAAGGGGATGAAAACATATTTCAATATAAAATATATAGAAAAAAGTTATATTTGTATGATATATGCACACGACGACGGACACATAATTTCGTGTTAGGGGTGAACTTGAATTTATAAAATTCTAAGAGAATTAAAAAAAATTCTAAAATAGGATAATTTTAAATTTTCAAGGTAATCAATACATATTCTAATCTTTCAAACTTCTTTTAGAGTTAGGCCGAGTGGTGTACCAACATTTCTCTAATTAAATTGTTGTAATTAATTCCTTAAAATAATTTAATCGTGTATTTAATTTAATATTCATCTATACAATACAATTAAATTAATAATCAATATATATATATATATATATATATATATATATATATATATATTTAAATCTATAATAAAATTTAAGATAAAATTAAATTTAGATTAAAAATCCACATATTTATATACATATTGTGAGACCTAAAGCTGAGACTTCAAAGTTTTAAGATCTCAATCTTAACATTGAACCAAGACATCATATTTATTTAATTAACTTAATTAAAAAAACAACAGAATTATTAAAATATTAGCCATACCTTTTCGTATCCTTTTCATTGAACATATATATGTATTCTTAAAAAAATGGAGAAAATCATAATCAAGATTTAGGGACCATACCTTTTCGTATCCTTTTCATTGAACATATATATGTATTCTTAAAAAAATGGAGAAAATCATAATCAAGATTTAGGGACCCTTGACATTTCTCTTTCTTTGAATACAAAGGATAAGGACATTTGATTTCTTCAAATAGAAGGCTTATAATACAAGGCAAATCTACATATATTAAGAGTAGGTGGCTTACTGACCAGCTTTACACATAAAATACACATAGTGCCCACAAGGGACTTTATATATAATATAAAATATACATTTGCTATTTGAATAAAATATTTTGGTACTTAAATTTTTTTTAACTTTCAAGTTGGTACATGAATTAGACACATTCTCACCTTGAAATTTTTTATTTCCAGGTTGTAATTTAAACTTTATAATTTCATCTATTATTTTGATAATTTTATAGCTTAATGTAAAAATAGGTATCCAAAGTATTTCCAAATTTAACTTTAACTGTTTAAAGTTTTTTTTATAAAAAAATAGGTGTTGTTTTTCTTGTTATACTTTTAGGTATTCGGTCGATCGACGACGTTGGTGGTGGCCGAAGGTTCTAAGTGATTGAAATTAGGGTTTTTATGTATTTTGAGTTTTTTTAATAATTTCAGAAAAATTTGAGTTTTTTAAAAATAAAATTTAATTTGAAGTAATTTTTAAAATAAAATTTTATATGTCTGACACGTGTCACTTAATGGTCGAATTTAATGGACGTTATTGTCCAGACAACTAAAAAATAGCGTTAAAAACGTTAAACACCTAAAAGTGTAACGGAGAAAACTTTAGACACATAATTTTAACGAAAAATACTTTAAGCACCTAAAGTTAACTCCGGATACTTATTTTTACATAAAGCCTTTTATTAACAATTTCACTTTAAATAAAAATTGAAAAATATTGAAAATACCAAAACAGTGAAAGAAATTGAAGTCTAAGTACTAATTTATGAATAAAATTTCTTTTAAGTACTAACTTTGGAGAAAGTGCTCAATTCAAGTATCAATCTGGAAGCTAAAATTTCTTTAGGTATTTACTTGAAAGAAAATGTTTAATTAAAGTATGAAATGTATATTTTGACCTAATGTATAAGAGTAGGGATTCAGTTCCATTACTCATGTCTCACGAGCAATCTTACCCCCCTGGTTGCAAGGAATCATTGATAATCGTAGGCCTCATTCAAAGATCTCACACTCTAACAAACGTATCCACATGCTTTTGCCTTAAAAAATAATTGTCCTCAACCCTAAACCCTCAAATCCAAAACAAAAGTTAAAACAAAGGAATGAACCATAAAACATGTTCCCTTTACACCGAAGCCACGGAAGAGGTGGTGTTCTTCCTTTTACCCCACAAGATAAGCTTTCGTGGGATATGATCCCAAGGACGGTATGCGGTGGCAGTTATCTGTACAGCACTATGGGTAGTCGAGGCCGCCAAGGGAAATTATTGGCAAGTGATAATGGCGATGGCGATGATAAGAAGAAGTCCATGCATAGGGATATCGAGAGGCAAAGGAGGCGAGAAATGGCCACCCTTTATGCTTCTCTTCGAACCCTTCTCCCCCTTGAGTACATCAAGGTGAGTTTGCTTTTGTTGTTCGCCTTAATCTTTATGAGTTTAGGCCTTAGGGTTACCTTTTTTCTTTCCCATGGGGTTTTAGGGAAAGCGTGCAGTATCAGATCATATGAACGGGGCTGTGATCTATATAAAAGACTTGCAGAAGAGGATCCGTGAACTGAGTTCCAAGAGAGATGAGTTAAAGAAACTGTCCGATTCCAGTGGTTGTGACCGAGGGATGAGCTCGAACGACAGTTTCACAACCAGTGCTGTGGTTCGCCAGTCTTTGGATGGTGTTGAAGTCGTGTTCAGCACCGGGGTTGGAGCTCGAGCTTTGACCCTATCGAAGGTTCTTAAACTAATGGTCGAGGAAGGACTGGATGCTGTGAGCTGTGTTTCAACTAGAATCGATGAAGGACTGATTCACACTATCCAATCTGAGGTATAATCACCCATTCACATTCTAGGTTTAGGGTTTATTTCTTATTGTTATCAACTTTCCAACTACCGAGTGCAACCTTTTATTTTGATGTTATAGGTCACCGATCTGACAATAGTCGATATACCTAGGCTGCAACAGAAACTGAGTGAAGAAATTTCATCCTTGAATCGAATTTCCTAGCTATTTATCCTTATGCTCTTGATCATTATTCGAGTAAGTTTCAGTCTTCTTTCACTCGGTGTGAACTTGCTTTTATCACATGTATCGGAGTAGGATTTAATATTGAGGTGTTGCTGGTATCATATCATCATTTGGTTTTTGCTTCATTGCATGTTAACGGACCTGATTGATTTCATTGTTAAGCCAAAGCATTTTAATGATTGATGCAAATCTAATGCCACACATTCACAGATTAGAGTTGCAAATCCTCATTCATGCATCACCAAAATGCATAAAGCGGTATAGGGTTGTGAATGAACCAAGTGTTGAATGAACAGTGTATAAACAGTTTGTTATCAAGCCAAGTAATTATAAACTATAACTAGAATAGTTTATACAATGTATTGGATGAATTGTTCATCAACTGTTTTATACATACGTAGTAACGTAGAATGCAGACTGCTTTATTATATGATCTGCTAAAGGATGTCTCATATATTCAAACATTTGGGTTACATTACTATATTCAATTTCCAACTTGAAAACCGTTGTACAAGGTTGTTCTTAGTTGTAATCTGTTGAAGAGAATAAAGAAGTAATTAGGTATCTCAGTGGGGTGGGGGTTCGCGTGTTCAATTAGACGAAAATGAGTACAAGTTTCGTGGATGGTGAAGCATGAATGTGAACAAAATTAGATTCGTGGTAGATGGTAGATAAATGTGAGCATGATTTTGTACTCGTCCCGTCTAATTGTTTGTATTTTAATATTATTTAAAGACTTATTTAAAAAAAATTCAACTCGTGTTGAAATTATTAAATTTTATACTTACATAAGATGATGAGATAAAAATAATAATAATAATTATTAAATTTTATACTTACATTATGCTATTGTCCCGTCCGGGTCAATTGTCATCTTTAGAAGCAACAAAGAAATTATTTGTGTTTTTGTAAGTGTTCCTGTTACACTACTTTGGTTGGGCCAATAAGATATGGGATTTGAGATTATGGTCAGCTTATTTCCAGACAATATCATGATCTAGAGGATCATTAATTAAGCTTAATTATATTAACATTTCAATATTGTTTCTTTCGGGTTCAATGAATCAAGGATTTGCTTAACATATTGAACACTATTTAATAAATAAACAATTTTTTCTTTTACATGTAATGCATTTTATTTAATTAAAAAACCCATTACTTATATATTTTTTTATATTTTAATATCACCTTTCATTTCATGTACATCTTATCAAATATAATTTTTTTTTAAAAATCAACTATGAAAAAGTCAAAATGAAGCTTCGTTCTAACTTCAAATGGCAGCCATGTTTTGTCCCAAAACGTCAACTACATGCCATGGATTTCTAATTATAAAAATGGGAAACTTGTTTGACAAGCATAGCCATTGTACTGATAACCCGGTAACCTTCATGATATCATGAAGATATCTGCTTGGCCACCAAGCAATCTTTCATATTTGGTCATTGCCTCTCTTATTTATCTTCATAATTTGGTCACTCTATAGAAGTGAAACAAGACCAGACGGTGCGGACCAGAGTTGAAGCACTCATCCAAGTACTCTGCCAATGTCGGATCAAACAAAAACAATCCCTTCTTCCCATCCCATTGTCGTCGATGATCCCTACAAGCGACTAGAAATCACCCTCAACCCTGATGGCTCGCTTACGCGTAACCCCAACAGGTTTCCCAACACGCCGGCCACACCTGATCCGGACCAACCTGTCCCGGTTCTCTCCAAAGACATCACAATCAATCAGTCAAAACACACATGGGTGCGCATATTCCTTCCCCGGCACCAAGTGCTTGATTCTTCTTTAGTTACACACAAGTTGCCCGTCATAGTTTATTACCATGCGGGTGGATTTATCAACTGTAGCGCATCGACAACAATTTTCCATGTTTTTTGCTCAAACATGGCGTTGCAACTCCAAGCCGTCGTTGTATCAGTTGACTATCGTCTTGCTCCGGAGCATCGGCTTCCAGCGGCTTATGACGATGCTATGGAAGCGTTGCATTGGATCAAAACGACCCAAGAAGATTGGTTGAAACAACATGCGGATTTCAGCGCTTGTTTCCTTATGGGGACGAGTTCGGGAGGTAACGTTGTGTACCATGCAGGAATACGAGCAGCGGAAGAAGCCAATGAGCTCAAGCCCTTGAAGATCCAAGGGCTGATACTACACCAACCATTTTTAGGTGGATCCTTGAAGGTTGAGTCCGAGTTAAGGCTGGTCAACGATCCCATTTTGCCACCAGGTGTGGGGGACCTGATGTGGGAACTGGCGTTGCCGATCGGGGCTGACCGTGATCACAATTATTGTAATCCAACCGCGAGAACGGGGCCAAAGCTTTTGGAGAAGCTGGCCTCCGTAGGATGGAGGGTGTTTGTGACCGGCTGTGATGGGGATCCTTTGATTGATCGTCAGGTTGGGCTGGTCAAGTTGATGGAAGAAAAGGGTGTCAAGGTAGCGAGCCATTTTCGTGTCGGCGACTATCACGGAGTGGATGTTTTGCAGCCAGCTAAGGCCGAGGATCTGTTCTTGGTCTTAAAGGATTTTATTTTATCAGCTAGCTAAGCTACACCTAAAGATGGTATTGTCCAGATATATTCCGATTCGGATTCAGATTCAGGTTTCGATATATTCTGTTAGTAACTTAAATAGATGCACATAATGCAAAGTAAGATAATAAAAGCGCTTTATTTTCCCAGAATCAAGCACTAGAACCTACATGCTTTATTTATTTCTTCAAATATTTCACATAAATTACATAAAACAAAACTGGAAGGCCAGCAAAGAAGGAAAACTCAACCATCCTCGACTCACTTGAGATGGCACTTTATCGGCAAGGCTCGGTATCAGTGCTTCTTTATGTGATGACTGTAGGTTTCTCCCTTCCGGTGAAGTCCTTCAGCTTCGATACGGCCAACGCCAAATCTGAAATACAACCATGTGATTCGTTCATATATTTTGCTGAAACGAATAAATTGCCGAAATGATTATGAGTATACCTATTAATGGTTTCAATGCCACTTGAGCATCCATGTCGTGTTTAGAAGCATCTGGTTCAAACTGTTCGATATAGACTCGAACGGTTGCACCAGCTGAACCGGTTCCCTGTATGCATATGGAATTAATCATATCAGAAAGAGTAAGGGTGTATCAGCCTGTAAATTTAAACAAGGGAAAACAAAACGTGCACATACCGATAAACGGAATATAATCCTGGAACCATCTGTGAAAACAAATCGAACACCTTGCTTTGAGACCACACTTCCATCCACCTGAAAATCAGACGCAAATAAATAATAGAATCACAAAGCATAGGAATTTTAAGCAAGACTGAAAATTGAGTGCTAATACTTACAGGATCAGTATATGAAAAATCATCAGCAAATTGAAGGACATAATTTCCTACAGTGAGGAAATTTAAGCAGTCAAACAAAAGCAAAATATAAAGACGAAAGTAGCTAGTGCAGGGGGTAAAGGGGTTGATTACAGACATACCGTACTTTTCACCAGCCTTACTCTTCGAGGCCAGATCTCTAAGGTATTCAATAATTTTATTGGCACCTTCAGATGCACATTCCTGCAGAGATATGAATTAGAGAATATAAACCTTCTCCGAAATCAAAGAACTCCCTAGCTGAACCAGAGCTAGAAACTATGAACTCGTGACATCTTGTTCTGAAAGAGCGCTATCATGCTTACTTCATAATCATATCTAGAGAAGAAATTTCTTCCGTACGTTTCCCAGTGTTGTTTGACGACATCAGAGACAGACACCAATTTCTCCCCTGGTTTCTTATCTTTGTTTCGATATGCGATAATTGAGAGCCATGCCAAAACAGCCCTGCCATTGACATAAATAGAGATCATTATACTTTGACCAAATGTATAAATTTACAGCAAATAACAACATTCGCGAGTACAATAAATGAGAAATCGTTTCCATAAAACTCAAGTATTCAGGTCGATTATGCAATTATGAAGACGCCACTTACATAAATGAGCACCTAAAGCAATTATTCAGCTACATAAATGAGCATCTAAATAGTTCATGCAATCAATACTATTAAGTCAACATTCCAGACATGTCTCGGTTCTCTTATAAAAAGAAAGCAATTACCATATTCCATCCTTCTCGAGAATGTGATCCGAACCAGTACCAAAACTTTCTTCCCCACAAATTGACAACTTTCCAGCATCCATTAGATTTCCAAAAAACTTCCAGCCAGTGGGAACCTAAAACAAAGAAAGTACCCTTAGAATATAATCCCTAGCCTCCTCTCTCCCAGTGTTCTTAGCTTATTATAACACATAAGTTCAGAATAGTGCTTACCTCGAAAAAGGTAAGACCCAATTTTTCAGCAACTCTATCAAGAGCACCACTGGTTGGCATGGATCGAGCTAAACCCTGATAACACCAATCATAAGTAATCTTTGGTTTAAAAAAACATGAAAAGAAAAGCTGCTAGAATTTTGTACCTTAGGACCACCCTGGAAGTATGGAATCGCTTCTTGTGCATTCGCAGCAATAATTGCAACGGAGTCTGAAGGGGTAACAAAAAACTTTTTACCTAGAATCATGTTTCTGTCACCGTCTCCTGTTTAACGAAGTAACAACTTGATTGTGATTAAATCATAAGAGTATTAACACTACCTTTTCTACTGAAATACAATAAAGTAACTTCAGTTCTACAAGCATTGGAATAGGAATGTAATCGAGAATATATGATAAATACACATCTACAGCAGAACCAAACGAAAGAAGTTAAGGTACTTTGCAATGCCAAACCACACTCCAAACAATAAAAATTTACGATTTCTTTACCATCACTTGCTGCTCCAAAATCAGGCCCATTCTCACTATACATGGTATTGACCAAATCCTTCGCATACCTGTTTAGCCATGCAGGTTAGAAAGTGGTATAATTTAATTGCTGAAGTGGACTCTACGTTTCTAGCAATAGCGACTAGTGACATCTTACGTAAGATTAGGATCTGGATGACCATGTCCAAAATCCTCAAGAGGCACTCCATTTGATATAGAATCCTACAGGACATGGCTAACAACTTTATTATCAATTAGGTCAAATAGTATTTTTCAGATGTTTCATATGCATGACATACCAGGCAGGCCCCAAGCTTGTCGACAAATATGGGTTTTGCATAAGCACCGGTAACAGCATGCATGGCATCAAATGCAAACCTAAACGTAACACCAAAATACAGTAAGAATTAGTTATAAGATCTGATCTTTCTCAAAGCATATTCGAACAGAAGATCCACTGAAAAAAATTACTTGATTAAGAGATACTATGGCCTATGTCGGAACTTTTTCATGGTCGTTTCTAGCATGTTCTACTTCATAGCAAGCAACCATCAGACTCAAACAAATACAAAACAAGCTATGAATAAACTAATACAACTGAACCCATTCCTGCTTAGTCAGGGGCAGAAGTTATACCTGAAGTCTGACCTCGTGAGAAGACTTTTGATCAGCTGGAAATCAAACACACTCTGCATATAATCCCATAGCATCAACGATACAAAAACATGAAGTTTCATCCAAAATTAAAGGGTGTGGTGGTTGATTTTTTTTCCCTCACCTCCATTAATTCCAAATAGTCAGACACTGGATCTATAACCTCAACAGTGAAGTTTCCATACTTAGTAACTCCAGTACGAGAAAGGTCGATGTCGGGAATCTCAGCCATTTTAATTTCAGAAATCTGCACAGTATTTCGATTTTCAGATATCAAGCACCTATTTGCTGACATAACAAAGGGGGGGGGGAACAGAAAACATAAACAGGAAAAGGTTGAATCTTGGAAAACAGTTTGTAATCAAGATTAGCACACAAACACACCAGAGAACATATCCAGGATAAGGTAGCTGCAACCAAGAATAATGGTGGGTTTACATATTATTTATGTGAAACTCCAGCCAGCTTTTCGATGCACTCGTTCTATAGGTGTTCATCTCAAGCCTCTTAAACTAACTAGGAATTTACTCTTCAAACAAAAACATAAAACACATGACAGTGACATCCAATTACTTACAGAAAGAGTATTCCCATATATCTTGTCGGTGATGGATTCAGGTGCAGGTTGCCCACTGTTGTAGTTAAACTAGAAAACAAGTAGATGAACACAATCAAAGTTAATGTCGGAGCTATAAACTGGAATTGGAAATATAAATGGAAAAAGCTATCATAATATAACCAGATATGTTGCCAAAGGTGCATTAGGAACAAACCTTGATACCCCAGTCATATTCGGGGCCTCCAGGATTATGGCTTGCGCTCATGATAAATCCACCATTGGCCTAAAGGGGTAAAATTTGTTTAACTAAGTGAAAAAAACACAAATGTGCAAACATTGATACCATTCGAAATGAAAAGAGACATGTTTACCTTCCTCTTTCGTATGACAGCAGAAACAGCTGGTGTGGACATAATACCGTCCCTGCAATGTAAAATAATAAAAGTTAGGCAGATTGCCTAAAAAATAAAGTGCCAAATATTAAAAACTCTTCTCGCACCACCCTTCAACTGCGAGTCTCGAATAACCGCTACTGAGATTAGAGAACACAACATATTGGCAGGAGAGGCAAGTTATTGTAAATGGCATACAATCCGCTCGTCATTTAGTTTAATCCTTTAATAAAATTTAACATCCAGAGCAACATTTTGTCAGAAAATTCATCAATGCCTAAACAACAAAAACTGGGAAGACAACTTGAAACATATTTCCAGTTTTATCACTCTTCCCTAGAACACTAGCGGCACTAGTGAAAGAACACTCACCTGCCAACCAAGATTTTTCCAACTCCATTTCCAGCTGCAATTTTGATAATGATCTGCATTTAGAATTCAAATATCCCAAGATGTCTGTCAAAGAGACTAATATTTTAAATACATAATGCAAACATAATATATGGTCTTTTCTGTTCCATGTTGTCTTAACTATGCAGAAAAATGCACTGTTAATTGAAAATCAGCTTAGAGAATGACCTGGGAAGCCTCACGGTTAAAGTACCGTCCATCGCCTCCTAACACCAACACTCCATTCTTGTAATCCTCAGGTGGTAATGAATTAAACAACGACTGCAGACATTCGAGTTAAACTTATCAATGCATTTGAACACTAAAGCAAACAAACGAATGCAATATATATATAATCAAACCTGGATCCAATTAGACAGGTAATTCTCTTGCATAAAAACTTTAACCTGCAACAAATGGAATTTTCTGTTAAACGATTGAGTCCCAATCCAATTTCAATATTTTATCAAACAAAAAATGGAAATTTCTGCAACAGCAATAAAATTTTTACCTTTTTCCTAAGTCCACTTGTTCCTGTCTTCTGCCCTTCAATCGGTTTGGTGGGTACTGAAGTTATCTGTAGAAGAAAACCAAAAATCACTATTCAAACAACAATTTTTTTTTTGAAAACAATGATAAAAAGGGGAAGAAAACCAATGATAAAAATGCAACCTTGATGCCTTCAGGCTCAGCAATGGTGGTGGAGGAAGAAGACGCTTTGATGGTAAAAGAACGCGAGTGTGATACAGAAAAAGAGTTGTTTTTTAGAGGGAAGTCATGGGTAGAGAGATGAGAGAAAGAAGAAGAGGAAGAAGGTGTTGGAATGGGATTTGATGGTCGTTTTGATGATCTAAAAGCAGAGGAAAACAAGCCTTCCAGTCTCAAAGAATTGCAACAAGAAGCCATTGCTGTGTTAACCTTTACCCTTTTTCTTCAAAGATGAATGAATCAATGAGAAAATGAGAGTTTGTTTGGTTTGATTTTATAGAAACCGAGTGGAACAGAGGGAGAGAAAATAGGGAAAAATCTAAGCTGAGCTGAGAGTTTGAGAGAGTAAACAGCTCCTACTTTCTTTGGCTATAAATTAATCAAAGAATACAAAGTGCCACTGCCAGAGCCAGTGGCATTGCCACGTGTACGTAGGAGAACGCTTATCTTCACATCCTATAAAATGAATCTGTCCGTCTCCCTTCACCATTGCCATCATCAACCCGAAATATAATTAGGCATAACAAACGGGGGTAAGACTCTTTCCATCCATCACGAGAGATCGTGTGAGTGTGGGTATGCATCAATTTCGTGAATCATGTGAGACTGTGACACCGACATGTAACGCTCTCTCCCAAAGCAAACTTCTTACAAATGGTTCCATGATGATTAAAATATATAAAAGGTTTGTCCAAACTGTTCTTCTTTTGTCACTGAGGTGTTATCTTGCAGCATAGTTTCTGATCACCGTTGTCAATGATGGTACACATTTGCGTGAGAATGAGTACGTGGTCATCATAGAATTTGATTTTTTTTCTTAATAAGTATTTATCTTATAATTTCTTTATATTTATTTTAATATAAAAAAATTGTATTGCTAATATATGCGTCTCTATCCTTACAAATATTTATAGATCCTATCATTCTTTAACACAATATATATATTGTCTGTAGACTAGTTGGAGAGGATCCTACATGAGAAGGAAAGCGAAGAAAGGGGAGAAGTGGGTTTGTTGGGAAGAGAATTGATACTGAAATTTGCATGAAGGTGATCCAGAATGCTGTTATAGTAGAGAAGATGACTATTGATCCTTTTACTAATTCTCAAAGAAGAAATAAATTCATATGAGGCCGGAGAGCAAGCTGAGCATCTCAGCTCCCAATATGGTCTTGAAGATAAATTAGTAATTCTATGATAATCATACATTAACACACTAACCTTTTTTTAAATTATGCTGATATATTATTACACTGTTTATGTATAATTTTAATAATAATTCATTATATGTTTATTCATAAAATTATTTATCGTAATAAATTAATGTTTATCAAAAGTTTGGAAAAGAAGAAAGATTCAGGTCCAATGAATCAACAATAGTAGTCCTTTCGTCCTTTTCCACTTTAATATTATTGGCCGTGCCACGTGGGACGCACCGCAACCCAACAATGCTGGTTTTATGTTTTTTCTGTGGTCCGCATACAGAAAATATAAAAAAAATCATTTTTTTAAAAATATGTAATTCATTTAAAGAATTGTAATTCATGTGATGGTTAGCTTAATAAATTAGTCAAAGTTTTTATTTTTCAAAGACAAATCCAAATCAAGATTGGCGACCGTCACCTTCATACAAACGCTTCTGTTTTCTTCTTTCTCTTCCCAGTTTCGAGTACAGGGAAAACACAACCAGCAACATCTTTAGTGGTCATTGCTTTGCTCTTTCGAATTCAAGCTCTGTAATTGTCCAAAAACAACAATGACTGGGAATTTAACAACAGGCTCGTCTCATTTTTCTTGATTCTTTTTGTTAGTCCTTTTGATATTTGATTTTCTTGATTCCAAGTATTCATCTTCGAACATAATCTGCATCTTGCTTTCTGAGATAGTGGGTTTCTTCTAGAGTAATTAGTAAACGAAACGAATATCGATTTGGTTTGTGGGATAGAAATGGGAATTTGTAGTATAGAACAAAAAAGAACAAAATTTGATCTTTACTACATGGTGGTAGAGTTCTTGCTTTGAGGTCTATCTTTCTTTAAATTATGAAGAAATGTCTGTTATTGTGGCATTTGATTGCTTTCTAAGTGTTATGAATCTGATTTGGTCAATGAAATCTTGTTTCTTGATACTTACATATTGGATTTGTGTAGTGGATACTGGATACTGAAATTTTCGATTTGTTCTGAAATACCATTCGTTTTGTGCTTCAAAATGCATAGGCAGGTAATGTTTTAAAATGAACAGATTAGCATAGGACTAGCGGTGGCATATAGGTATACATAGTTCTCTAGATTTTTTTGGGCTTGAACAACTATGGATTGTAGGTGGAGGTGAAGATCTTCTCGGAGATACGAATGGGAGGTCTGCAAACAACAATTCGCTAGTTGTTTCCTTTGGTGAATTTCTGATCGATTTTGTACCGACAGTCGGAGGGGTTTCTCTGGCTGAAGCACCTGCTTTCAAGAAGGCTCCTGGTGGTGCTCCAGCTAATGTGGCCGTTTGCGTATCTAGATTAGGAGGAACATCAGCTTTCATAGGCAAGGTAAACTCTTAACATCTATCTTTACTATGTACCGATAATGTAGAATAATTCTATGTTGTAAATAAAAGGGCCGCTTTTTTACCTGCGAACTCTTAACAATCGTCCCGCTAAATGTATAGCGACGAAATTATACTTCTTCTCAGTGAAATCGGATTATTATTTATTTGGATAATGAGATTGTAAATGTACATGACGCCTTGCGATTCCATATCAGGTTGGAGATGATGAATTTGGCCACATGTTAGCTAACATTTTGAAAGAAAACAATGTGGACAATTCCGGCATGCGGTTTGACCATAGTGCAAGAACTGCATTGGCATTCGTTACGCTCAGAGCCGACGGAGAACGAGAATTCTTGTTTTTCCGTCACCCAAGCGCTGATATGCGACTTCATGAATCAGAACTCGATATAAACCTCATCAAGCAGGTTTCTTTTTTTATTTAATTTTGTTTTTCTGCATTTCTCATCTTTGTTTGAATTAGTGGACGTGAAAGGCTGGCGGAATTTAGAATTTTCTAATATCCGAGCAATATTTGATTGCAGGCGAAGATCTTTCATTTTGGTTCGATTAGTTTGATCGAGGAACCATGCAAGTCGGCTCAACTTGCAGCAATGAACATTGCCAAGAAGTCCGGTAGCATCCTCTCTTATGATCCAAATTTAAGATTGCCACTGTGGCTATCAGCAGAGGCTGCTCGTAAAGGAATAATGAGCATATGGGATCAAGCAGACCTTATTAAGGTATGAATTTGATTACAAGACTTGTAAACGGATCTCACTACTCCATTAAAATGCAGGCTAATCTATGACAATGCAGGTAAGTGAGGATGAGATTACCTTCTTAACCGAAGGTGGCGACCCCTACGATGATAACTTGGTGACAAAGAAACTCTTTCATCCTAATCTTAAGCTTTTAATCGTAACCGAGGGGCCAGCAGGTTGTAGATATTACACCAAGGTAAGCTAGATCTTGTCTGTGAAAAAAGATAAAGAAGGTTATTAAGAATTTCATTGATAATTCTTAACATGTGATTTGCATAAACAATCGACCTATATATCCACTGCAGACTTTCAAGGGGAGGGTTCCCGGCATCAAAGTTAAACCTGTTGACACTACGGGTGCTGGCGATGCTTTTGTTGGGGGCTTACTGAGCAGCCTAGCTTCTGATTTAAATCTGTTTGAGGTACCCACATTTCTCACATAAATTTAGAGTAAATGATCTTCAAAGCTGGGGATTCGAGGTTCACTGTTCTAATCTATAACACCATTGTTTCATGAGCAACATATAAATGAATTCATCTTTCTGACAGGACGAAAAGCGGTTAAGAGAAGCCTTAGCTTTTGCAAATGCCTGTGGAGCCCTGACGGTAACAGAGCGAGGTGCGATTCCCGCTCTGCCCACAAAACAGGCAGTTTGTGATGCCTTAACCAAACATCATGCATAGTAGAAACGAAAGGAGATGATACTAATTGATATACTTTGTTCTCGCCATTAAACTCTTTGTAGTTCTGAGCATGAGTTGCTTCTCATGGAACAATTTGATGTGATTTTGGCCAGTTTTGTTACCCAGAAAGTGTTGTATAAGTTCGAATGTAACAATAAAAATTAACGGTGTTTTTCTTTTGTATATTTACTTTTACTGAAAATGGGATTTAGATGATAGCAATCAAATATATTTGAAGTTTCAAAAATTTGAATGGTCGGGTTCATGTAATCATGTTGTTGGCTGAATGTTTGAAAGTGTGTGTGCTAATGATGATAACAGTCAACTGTTGGAGAGAAAATTTTACTGGGGAAAATGTTAATTTCCCTGAAATATTTCTGCTGATCTTTTATGGGAATTGATATCGGTTACATAATTGCATGGGCGCAGGCTATTCTGATTTTGCTATTAAAACTTTCACTTAAATAGGCCATTGTAAGATGAGACCAGAGGCGTACTAATAAGGTCGTTGAGTGTATTTATGTTATGAAAAACTGTAGCTAGTATTGGTTCCCTATTGAACCTCTACATGCTCTTCGAGATTTGACTCGATTCGGATTAATCGGACCGCTAATACTAGAGTGCAGGAGTGGATTTGAATGCCTGGTCATATCAGTGTGGAAGAACTGTGGGTTTGAAGAGGGGTAGGTTTAGAAATCAATTAGCCATTTATGTATTGAAAGACATGAGAGGAACTGTATTGGTAATTTTGAGGCAGGTGGGTGGGTCAATCCTAGGCTTTGGAGCATTACTTTTGCCCTTTATTATTACCTATTGGCAGTCTGTCCCCCTTGCTTGCTACCATCGAGAATCTGATACATTCTACGTGAAGCGCCACTTTAACTGTTTGTTAATAGCAGTGTTTTTGTTTTCCTTCTTCTCCTGCGAAACTCTTTCATAGAACAAATTAAACAAATTAGGTTGAAAGAGATTTTTTTTCATGTGAAACTTGTTCATAGAACAAACAGAATCATTATGTAAGAAATAATATCTCACTTATTTGAGGTATCTCAAAAGTTACCTCAAAAGTGATGCAGGGGGGATAGAAAAGAGATGAAAACTTGAAACGTCAATTATAATCATAAGTTGAGGGCATGGCTAGATCACATTGCACCTGCAGATAATAATAAAATAAACAACCTGCTATTCAAAACACAAGGTAGGGTGGAATCGCATTGTAAATCGAGCTTGAGAGTGAAAGCTCTTTTGTTTGTGTCGAAATGGTGAGATGGAACAATAAAGAAAAGTGCGTCATCCCATCACCTTCTTCCAACATTTTTATATTCCCCCACTCAGTCACCCCCCTTTTTATCCTTTTACCGATTCCATTTCCCAATGAAAATATTGGAATGAAAATGTAGCCGTTTTAGTGTGCGTGATGGATCCGGTTTTCTCGCTCCTTCACCAGCTTCATATATAATAATGAACCTTGTCACCAGCTTTTCTTTGTTCAAACTACACACTCATTACACCTTTTCTATCTCCACTTTCCATCCCTCCCAAACTTATCTTCTCTTTCCATTGAACGAACCCCATTTTGCTTGTGGAGTCGGCGATGGGAAGGGATTGGTATTGGGGAAGTGGAGCTGCTAAAACATCCATAGCCACTAGCAGCTCCAAGAGAGCAGCAGCATCGGCTGATACCACGACTTCCACTGGTTGCATGAGTGCCGTCTTTCAGTTCTTCGATTTTCATCATTTCCAGTTCCCTTTAAACCATTCTCAAAATAGCAGCAGCAGCAGCAGTTGTGGTTGTTTCAAGCAGCCTAACTCTTTTTTCTCTCCTCACAGTACCATCGTCCCTACTACTCTCAGAGGTTCCTTCTTTCATTCTTCATCTCTCTTTTTCTTTTTTCTTTTTTTCTTCTTCTTTCTTTTACCTTTTTTCGCTAATCAGTGTTCAACATGTTCCACTGAAATGCAGGTACAGAGGCCCCAAGGAACAGTTTGGAATCAGAGGAGGAAAGCTCAACTTCAGTTTCAGTTTCATTGACATCAACCAGTAAAGAAGAAAATTTAAACATTCCTGTAAGAATGGTATTTTATTTCATCTTTTTGGGCTCATGGCCTTGTTTTCATTGTTTGAGAGTGGTATTTTTTTATAAAAAAAATGAGTAATCATGATGATAATGATAATGTTTATGTGAAAATCAAGATGGGAATTCAAATCAAAACAAGGGGAGACAATAGGTTAAAAGTTGGAGCTTCAAATAACGATACATCTTCAGAGATCAGCAGCTCTCCAGGGACCAAGACACCCACTTTGGTCGCTAGGCTTATGGGACTTGACATTCTTCCGGAAAGTCGTTCACCATCTTTTTCATCAAACTCACATTTGAAGCCAATCAGTAGCCATAGAAGGTCATTGGATGGTGATATTCGGGGCACTCGTTCGTTGCCGGAAACTCCGAGGATATCGTCGTCTTCGAGGAGGTCGGACGTGGATCTTCATCACCGGCTTTCTCTTCAAATCAATAAGGAGAACATGAATGCAACCGAAGAGTTAATGATGTCTCGTTTGAAAGCACTGAAAGGGAAAGGGCAGAAGCATGAAGACGAAAACAGGAGTCCGGGTCACCACGCGAGGCAGATTGTGAATCTGGTTAAAGAAAGTGTGAGCAGGAAAGTTGGAATGGACATTACCAACACTGTTCGGATCAGAGAAGAGCTTGTTAGCCAATTCAAGAACAAGAAGATTTCCAGGGCTATGAGCAAATTAGCTGAAGATTCAATCCCTTGGAAGCACTCAACAACACCACCTTCGTGTTCACCCAGGCTTCGGTTCTCGGAAACCAAAACCAAAGATCACAATCCTCAACCTCCAAACCCATCATCATCAGAGATCAATATCCAGCCTCATCCAATCACTGGAGTTCTGAAAAAACCCAAGTTGCAGCCGGTTGCAGAGGAACAATATGAGCAGCAAAACCAGCAGCCACCAAGAGCCACCACAAGCAAATGCAAGAAAGCGAAAAAGACTCGGCAAACATCGGACATTATCCGAAACAAGCAAGAAGAGCCTTTCGTTCGTCCTTCAATAGCCAACAGAATCCACATTCCCGACAAGAGTTGCAAGAAAACCCCATTGTCAAATGATCTACTCAACATCACCGTCCCTACCTTTTTTCCGGTCAAAAAAGACCCTTCTCCTCCGGCCACAAAGATCCCTCAAAAACAGGTATTCAAATAGGAAAAACATGGGATTTTGTTTTATTTTTTTATTTTTTACTTTATCAGCTTATTGTTTAGATGCGTTGCAGGTCTCAGATACTGGAAGACCGAAACGTAGCTCACAGTTATCTAGTTGTTCGAGCCAGACGTACAACAAACAAGAAGCGACGTACGTACACGTTCCCCGACACGACCACGTCGGCTACAGATGTAACGGTGATACTACCACTACTACAAGCACAACCAGTGAAGCAGCAGCAGAATATCATGAGTACATAGCTAGAATACTAAGACGTACAGGGCTAGAAAAAGATACCCCACTGTCCTTGGCTTCTTGGTTCTCTCCTTCCCATCCTCTTAACCCTTCCATTTTTTACTACCTCGAACATTTCACCTCTTGTAATAAAAAAAACAGTACCAGTCAACTGAGCCTCCGATGCAATCGAAAATTACTCTTCCATCTCACGGATGAGATATTGACTGAATTTTTGAAGCCGTTTTACAATATGAAGCCATGGGTTATAAGTGGACTTGGACGTGAATGTTTTAGTAATATGAACGGTTCTCAACTGACAGACACATTGTGTTCAAAAATTAAAGGGTTTCCTCGAGCTGATTGCCGTGTCCTTGAAGATATCGAGGCCTTGATCAACATGGACTTGCCGGAAGTGAAGCTCCGAAGTTCGGTGGCGTACGAGGAAGAAGGGGAAGGGACTGTGTCGGAGATCGAAAAGGGCATACTAGAGGCGCTGATACATGAAATGGCAACGGATTTGAGACACTGTGGAATCGAAACGTGGAGAGGGCTGGCCTTTTAGAATCACATGTGTCATTCACGTGATGAGATGCTATTCGTTGGGGTCTTTGTGGGACTATACACGTGGGTAAAAGGAAGGACAATATGGTATATAGGGTATTTTTGTATATATACATGGCCATAAGGTATCTTCGAAAATTACAAGTACTATATTCTTTTGAGTGTTTTGAAATTTCTTTGGAAATTTAGGCTCTTCAATGTTGGAATCACATCTCGATGTAATACATCTATGGGTACTTTTATGTATTGATTTTGTGTCGTATAAAGATTATCTTTTTTTATACAATGGTATATTATATAAATGGTCACTGAACTTTTCAGATACTTACATTTAGGTCCCCTAACTTTTAAAAATTGCAATACAATCATCAAACATTTAGTTTATTTGCAATATGGTCCCCGACGTAACGACCACTTTACTAATGTTAGGGTAAATTATATAAATGGTCACTGAACTTTTTCAGGCGTTTGCATTTAGGTCCCCTAACTTTTAAAACTTGCAACATAGTCATCAATTACATTCTAAACCCCAAAATCCAAAATTCTTCAATTATATTCCAAACCTCAAATTCCAAAATACTTCAATTACATGTCCAACTCCAAATTCATAATTCATTCTCAAAATCTGTCATAACAAAATGAACTTGAAGCAGCAACCTTAAACCCTCAAAACATAATTGTTTCGAAAAAAAAATTAACTAACTATAAGTGAACAATAAGTGATTATGTTGGGTTTAGGGTTATGTTGGACCTAAATACTCAATTCAGTTTATAAAATAGTTGACTCAAATTTTTTTTGTTTTGAGTTTATAAAATTTAAATCAATTCGAATTGAATTGAATTTCTGAGTTTCTGTTTAAATTTAATTATAAATATTTATCATATTTTAATATTATTTGATTCTAATTCAGTTCAGTTTATAACATAGTTGACTCGAAATTTTTTCAATTTGAGTTTATAAAATTTAAATCAAGTCGAATTGAATTGAATTTTCGAGTTTCTGTTTAAATTTAATTATAAATATTTATAATACTATAATATTATTTGATTCTAATTTAAATAGTTTTTAACCATATACAATACATATATTTCTTCATATTTTTTCCATATGTGATATACATATATTATACAGAGTCAAGGGACTTGACTCAAGCTTAAAAATTAATCCACTAATTACTAATATTTTTGAGATATTCGAGTTGTATTTTACAACTCGATTTTAACTTGAATTTTTTTCAAGTTGAGTTTATGAAATTACAATTCAAAGTCAATTTGTATCAAATTTTTGAATCAATTCAAGTCGAAAATAATTTTTTCGAATTGAATTGAGTATTGTTCACTTATAGTTGGTTAAATCTAACTTTTAAATCCTAAAACCAACATAATCACTTATTGTTATGGACCAAAATGAACTAAATGTTGTTGATTATGTTGGGTTAATTGGTGGGGAAATTTAGCATTTAGGGTTATGTTTTGAGAGTTTAGGGTTGCTACTTCAAATTTAGTTTGTTATGGAAAATTTTGAGAATGGATTATGAATTTGGGGTTGGACATTTAACTTAAATATTTTAGAATTTGAGATTTAGAATGTAATTGAAGCATTTTGGAATTTAGGGTTTAGAATGTAATTGATGTTTGTGTTGTAATTTTTAAAAGTTGGGGGACCTAAATGCAAGCGCCTAAAAAGTTCAGTGACCATTTATATAATTTACCCTAACGATAGTGAAACGACCATTACGTCGGGGACAATATTACAAACGAACTAAATATGTAGTGACTGTATTACAAATTTTAAAAGTTGGGGAACCTAAATGCAAGTATAAGAAAAGTTCAACGACCATTTATATACTTCACTCTTTATGTAATAATACGTGTTATGCATAATATATGTTCAAATATATTTTAATATTAAAAATAATATATGTTTGTTAGTAGTTCAAATATCAAATCATTATGTTCCATTTAACATTCATATGCATATAATTTATGAAATAATCAATGGTAGAGTTAAGATAATTTCAATATTTATTTTTGGGTTTGAGTCTCGTAGATGGATAAAACAATATCAGAATAACATTATATTTTGTTTAGATACTTAATCTTAATTTTAAACAATAATTAACTTTTATATAATTATCAGACCCGAACAATCTTTAAGAAAATTATTATTAATTGTATTCATGGATTAGATTAGGTTTGGTTGCCCGTTTATTGAAATTTGAGCTTGTATAAAGGAGAGAAATAAAGGCCAAGAAAAGAAAAAGAGCAAAGAAGGTGATAAAGCAGCGGGTGTGCATGGATGTTATGAGAAGGTTCATGTTACGTGCGCATGATTTTTCTATTTTTAGAGCCAAAGATGAAAAATGCATGCATGCAGGAGGCAGCTACTACTTTCACCACCAAAATCCTAAGCAATTGCTGACTATAAGCCTATTTCAAATTACAACCATATTCCCATTCGAATATTGTGAATTTTGTGATGTTAAGCACCGAGCGGGAAATTCAAAATGCAGGTCAAATCATATATATAGTAAAGTCAAATGCTACGATTAATACACTTATTTAATGTAGCTGTCTTTTCTTTTTCTTAATTCCTTAGGGTTGTTTAGTTACAGGTACTAGCATTGATGATGATGTCTGGGGATACAAGAACGAGTCATATTATGTCACTTTTTGAAACCATGATGTCAGTTCTTGATTATTATATTTGTCACGTGTTTAACATAATAATACAAGTTTTCACAACCAACATGATTGAAAATAGATAAATTTTAGAGATTATGATTTAAATTTCACTTAATTCGATCATAATAATTTATAATATGATCTATTTATAAAGAATTAAAATCAAAAGAAGAGTAAAAATATATGGTGGATACAAATATTCTCATGTTGAGATTGTTTCGGGTTTATTATTAGTATAATTATATGCATATTTAATGTTTTTAGGGCAAGTGTAATTAACCATGAAAATATTAGTTTTGTGAAATGTAAGCAACAAATTTGAAACTAGAAAGAGTTATACATATATGGTGGGGGAGGGGGGGAGGGTGATGTAGATTGCATGGGAGATTCAGTATTAACGCAAAACTTGGCAGATTCCGACTACACAATATTCCTGAGGACTGACTAGCTCTGAATTCCAAATTCAATATTGTTGCTCCCCTGCTTATTTCAAAAATTCAAAGTGGTCCAGTTTCGCGGGGCACAACACAATATGAAAGATAATAATAATTATTCCATGGGATTAGACCGTTGACTGAGTGCCCTGCAATGACATTAGCATTTGCATCCGATCAGGTTTACCATATAATACATCATGACTTATGCATCGATCATCGTACACTTAAACCATTTTTATTATTGCTTCCCCCCCCCCCAACCCAACCCTTTCTCTGTCTATCCTATCTCTTGATGGGTATTATTTGGTAGTGACTGTCAGTTTAGTTGGCATGTGCAGTGTTTTGTTGTGTGGTCTGAAATACCAAAATGTGACAATGAGCGGTGGGGTTATGGGCTCAAGTGCCAACCCCAACACTTTGTCTCCATCCTTTTGTGTAAAACTATTCAAGCTTATAATGCCTCTAAAGGGTGAAAATGAAATTGAGAGCAGAGCTCTCCTTTGTCTGATGAAATCATTCAAATACTCTAAAGGAGGGAGAGTTGTGGTTTTAAATTCACAATAATTTGTCCTCGTAAAAGGTTTGATTTAACGGTTCATATTCAACATTTGTAATCACTTTTAATAAGATACTTTATCACTGCACGTTGAACTAATTAAATGAGCTTTTTGCCCCTTAATTTTCTTATTCAAACATGCTTTTATTCCTTACTAAAAGCCGCTCATAAACTGAGATTTACGTTGTTTTGGAATTTTGGAGCCCAACTGCCACCCTAAGAAAAGTTGGTCTTGGTACAATGCCCAAAAGCTTCAAAAGTCCACATTTAGAGAAGATAATCAAATAACGTCATTTAGAGATATCATTAAATTTAGTCTTAGAAACGACCCAATTGATCTCAGTAATTAGGAGATTTGTTGTTCTTTCTACATGTCATAAGTTCGAACACCAATAGGAGTATGAACGTTCATTGTCAATTGATTGAGAGTCTTTGAACATATGTTGTCTTCTATTTACACCGGATGTATAAAAAATAGTCTTAGACAAAAAAAAACAAATTACAAGACTAATCAATCAGAAGTCTCATTAATTTTATGATGGAATCAAAAGTATTAATTCTTATTGTTTATTTTACCATCTAAAAGGTCAATCCTTTCAAAATTTATAGTTATCTTACCCATACACTTAATACTTCACGTTGGTTTTAATAATTGAGTATAATTTATTTTACGAATAAATATAAAATTAGTGAGTTTATATATGAAATATTAACCCAATTAATATTCCTTCTATTCCACCTCAAATAGCTAGCATTGAGAGCAAAAGCAATCCAATTCCAACATTTTATGGTCAATGTTTCAGAAATCCTTTTCCATTTTCATTGCTTTCTTAGAAGCCAAACAGTGCAACAAACTTTCATTCCATAAACTTCGTTCTTTTCACATGTGAAAAATATATAGTTTTATATATTAATGGTATATAAATTTTGTATATAATTAATATATTAAATAATACTATATTATCATAAAATTCTTAAATATCATATTTTTATTAATAGTTAATAAATTTATATAGAATGAATACAATAAAATCTCAGAAGTAGAGAAATTATGTACTGCTTTAATTTGTCTTGCACCCACCATGCTCCAATTTGATTAACCAACCTGATAGATATATGCCAACAGTAGCGAAGCTTTTTGACTCATCCTTATTGGTACGTAAAGAACAGTCAAATAATTTACGCAATCCAGTAAGGCTTAAGAGTTTTTTAGTTGGTAGAAATATAAACTTGGCCTCAAAGTACACCCATTTCTACATTCTGTTCCCAATTTTGAGTGACTTAAAAGCATAGAGAATCAGTGTAATATTCTACTAAAATTCAATCAACATTTCGCTTGTCATGCCAACTATATATCGTCCACGATCTTTCATCAATACCCATACCATTTTCTA